TCTCACATGTGGAATGAACCAAATCAATCAAGCTATTGTAGGATATTAGAAATATACTGACGACCCAGTTCATTAATGAATAAAATGCATTTAGTGTACACCAGAATAAAGCCATGATTCTGAAACTAAGTAATCAATAAAGTAGTGAGAATATTGAACATAGAACATGCAGAACGGATGCAGGCCTTATACCTTTTACATTGGGTGGGGGGGGGGGGGCAAAACATGTCCCATCAGACTAACATAACTGTTTCGGCTTTCTGTTGATGTGGAACTTTTTATAAAGTAACCCATGAAATTGAAGTACATCACAGTCTGATGCTGATTCTGCGAAACCAAATGCTGTTTTTAAGCAAGGAGTCACAGGAAGCAGCTCTGAGCTAACGGCACGTCTGCAGGAAGACAATCCATCAAAAAGGAGCACTTTAATTCGATTAGAAATAAAGTCCATTGTTGGAGTTACAAACACAAGATGACAAGATCAAAATGTTGACACTTGCTGACAGATGTTCGGTTAATAGCTGAGCTCAAACTGTGTGAGCTGCCCCCCGCAGGCATGAAAACCAGTTGCCGTTTTCCCTTTCTGGCACGGGCGGTCGCGGTCAAATCATCGGCGATGGTCCGGTCAAGGGGTAGTTGAAACCGTAAAAGTCTGATATGTAGAGTGAACAATTACTATTTACATTACAGGTCATTTAGCTGACGCAACTTTCATTGCAATCAAATCAGTGAAGAGAAAGTTTTCACACAAACATCTGCCTGTGTGTCTCTTTTCTCTCCTTTTACACAAGTCTTACCTTCACTTCCTCTGTGTGTGTTTGCATGTACGTGTGCGTGGTGTCGAGGGTAATTTGCTTTGCAAAGTAAAAATATGTTTCACAGGCTTCAATTCGTTCGTTGTTTTTATTTGTCTTGCTGACATTTTAATCCACAGATTACATAATTTTATGAGACAATAATTGTAGTTAATAGAAACAAACAATTTCTGAATAACTTTGTAACAGGAAACAGAACAATGATTCAACATCCAACTATTAACGCTAGTTTGATTACAACATTTTGTAAGATCTTATTGAAGCAAGATGTTGAAACATATTTGTGGTCACAGTTGATAATACACATAATAAACAACATATCAGGCACTTTGCTCTGCAGCTGTTGCAACACGCTTTAGAAAAGAGTCAGAAAATAGAAGAAAGCTCACGAAAGAAGTTCAACCTGTTACATACAAACACCATCATCTCAATGGTTAAAGATTCCATGTTGTTTAAAGGAGGTGGGACATGTTTAATGACACATCCTAAGAATCAGGGCACATTAAAGGTTTTAATTCAGATTTGTTCATTGCTGCTTTTTCTGATCTTTAAAGAAAGCGGTTGCTTCATTAAAGATAGTGTCTGCTGCCCTCCCTACTGCCTCGCTTGGTGTGTCTGCTTCCTTAGCGGCAACGTATCCTGTGATTGCTCCTACTAAAGCACCTGCACCGATCACTACGCCTGCTGGTATTCCAGCTGCTGCTCCGCCAACCACCACGACGACACCAAAAAGAGCTCCTAACAATGCACCTGTTGCGAAACCTGCCAATTTGGTCAAAAGCCTTTTATTTACGCTCTTTTTAGCCTCCTCTCTGATCTCCTTGTCTGTCATGTTTCCTGATGACTGTCTGATCTTTTCCTCCTCCTCTTGTCTTAGTTTCTCCACAGCTTGTAGCACCTCGTTGGTGAAGCAGCTTCCGTTGTTTGCCTCAATCATGTGATCGATGGTCTTCATCAGCTGCTTCACTTGGAACTGGTTGCTCCTGTAATCATCCGGCTGGTTGTTCTTCCAGTATTTGTTATCAACGACGTGGCAGCGGCCTCCACACTTCTTTATCAGATCACTCACAAGCTGTTTGTTGTGGAAATATTCCTCAATGGTCTGTCCTTCCTTGAGCTGGTCACCATGAGTAAAGAGGACTGTTGCATACTTGAAAGCTTCTTCAGAGAAGTATTGGTTGATTTTATTAATCACATCCTGCTCCTGATCTGTGAATCTCTCCACCTTAAACACTATGAGAAAAGCATGAGGCCCAGGAGAGCACTCTGTGATGCACTTCACTATTGCAGCCCTCAACTTCACTTCAGATCGATCCGTGTCGAACAAACCAGGAGTGTCGATCAAGGTGACGTCTCTTCCATCAACACGTCTGGTTTCTGATTGACATTCACTTGTTGCAGAGACGCCATTGAAGCCGGTCTGGAACAGTTCCTCTCCTAATATGGTGTTCGCCAGGCTGCTTTTCCCAACTCCTGTTTTTCCTAATATTACAATCCTCATCTCTGAAAGAGAATATCAATATCAACTAAATATTGTTATTGGTCAAAGTGGTTGGTGAAAGTAGTTTCGTACTTTACTTTAAAGCAGTAATTATCAGAAGAGAATAATGTAAAAAAAAAAAGCCCCACAAGCATAAAAATACAGAATCAGATCTAACCGCACTGAACACAAAATACAGTGAAAGAAATGAACTTACTGTCCATGTTGTCGAGGGTGAAGTGACAGTAGAGACAGTTGGACGGAGCAGACTGAGTTTGAAAGTGTTTCCTGAATCTTCTTCCTTAAGTACGTTTTTCACCACAACACATTTGTCACTTCCTCCTTTCACATGATCTCCCCTCAGTCCTCATGAGGTTTTCTTTTTAAAGGAATTAATTCAACTAAAGCAATTTATGTTCTGTACTGTTCACCAAGCACAGCTTCAACTTGTTATCTATCTAACAGTTCCACAAAAACAAACGTGTCATTCAGGACGTCTTTTCTTGTCTGTTTTATTTGCAGCTGGTTTCATTTCCTGACTGAATAGAAGCAACAGAGCGAAACAATGATACTGTCGTGTCCATCGCTGCATTAAAAACACTTTCATCAGTTGCTTAAAAAAAAACCCTGATAAACTTTAAACTCTTTCAAATGCTTATTCTCTATCAGGATAGAAAGGGAAAGTATTTAGTGACGCAAACACTCACTAAAAAGGCCCACGCACAGCACCACCACGGCCATGGAGAGGATGAAGCAGTTGTAGTACACTGCCATGCACCACTTGAGGGCCGCGTGCCGGTCGTAGGTCACAGGGTCGCTTGGTGACACATGCGAAACTGAAGAGCCCATAATAAAGACACTTTTACAGTTTCCAACTGCAGCTTCATTTACCTGCTACATTGATGTCAAATGTTTTTCTAAATTGTATATAAACGCATTTCGATGACAAATGCTGAGAAACTGCAGCATCAAGCTGCTGATTGGATCTCGGCGGAGGAACGTGAGAGCGACGTGATCAGGCTGTGAGCTGCTCAGAGGAGCCTTTACGGGAAATGAAAGCATTTCTGATGAAACTTCGACGAGCTGTAAAGTCCCTCGTGCTGACACGGAAGAAGTGAACCAGACCTCGGTTTGCTCTTTCTGAGGTTTGATACTTTGCATATTTCAGGCGTCACTGCAGATCACGTGCATACGTTTTGGATGAGTGAACGTGATCAAAGAAAGCCTCTAAAACCACGACCAGACAGATTGAAGGTGTTTCAACACGTTTGTTACTGAAACATCTGTATCAACAGTCCAGTGTTAATTTCGTCGACGAAAACTATGACGAATGTTCGTTAACGAACCTTTTTACCATGACTAAGACGAGACTAAGACGTGACGAAAACGATCTTAGAAAATATAAACTGACTGAATGACTAAATGAAGCTTAGGCGAAAATTCAGTCAGGAAGACTGGACAGGCTGTGCCGTTCCCTGGTGGCCTCCTCTCTCCCTGGGGGTGCACAGCCAGCTGATTAGGGGCGGGGGCGGGTAGTATCAGACGTGGGTGTCGTTACCGTAAACCAATCGAATTGGTACAGGCAAACGTTAAGAGCTGTTCTCTCTTTTGCTGTCAGTTGTCATTTCAGCACGCTCCAAAGGTGAAGCGTAGCGTAGCGTTCAGTTAGCGGGTCCTACACCACAGTGTTGCCGTCAACTCTGAAGGTCCGATTGGACGTCGGCCAATTGTGAAGGAACTAGCTCAACAAACCGAGCCGCCGCCGAGCAGCAGGCGTGGTAGCACGCATGTACGAGGCAGCGGTGGTGGTGTGAGCACCAAGCTTCCCTCTGTCCAGGTGTGAGTGGGTGAGGCTCACAGCTGGCAGAGAGCGAGTCGATCCCTCCGTGCCACCCGCACCAGCACGGGGAAGGACGAGAGAAGCGCAAGCAGCCCATTATGTTACATGTAACGTTCATTCAGCAGAAGATTTTATCCAAAGGGACGATACGCGCATTCATCAGAGGGTACAGAACCAGAACCACAATAAGCAAAGGCCCAAATTAATGTTTTATTAAGAGCTGTCAGCAAACACTCGGCATGTGGTTAAGAGGTTACCGTTCGCGCTGTGGGGGAGCGACAAGCACACTACGTCTAACCGGGAGAGCGCAGCACCCGGAGTGTTCTCCCCCAGATACTCCGGGCCATCGAGGACGGACATCACCGTCATCTCCACGCTGGGAAACGCGCAGATATTCCGTCCACAGCAAGCAGCCGCGTAGCCCTCAACACTCCGCATGGCAAGCGTCACTCCACAGCCACGCAGATTGAAGCGGCTCGGCGTTTCACAGGCATCCGCAGTCCACCGGGCTAGCGCGGCGTCGGGAGGCGACGCTCCGGGAGGGTAAAGTAGCAGCTCCACGGTTGAGAACGCAGCTCTGGCGCCTACGAGACGTTAGTTGCGCGGTGTAATGTATAATGTTGTTTACTGTGTGGTGGCATGAGTCAACGGTAGACTCCTTCAGGACTGAGTAGCGATTTCAGCGCGAACTACGGGAGTAATAGTTTTGCAACCAGTACCGGAGAGGAGTACGGAAGCGCGAAGCAGAGAAGCGCTTCAGAGGGGGACGTTGACTCACGTATTAATGATACTTCGGGTAGTTTTAACTTCTAATTTTCCGGGCTAGAAGGATCCACTGCGGGTGCTTGGGTGAGGATAAAGTGCTGCTCAGGTGCCTTATTGCTTTTATAATACGGTGCCAGCGAATTTATACATAGTAAATAAATAGAGGCAGCACGATCATATTTCGGTAGCCTTTAGGAATGGTCCCGGTACGTGCAGGTAACCAAGGCACTGGACATCGAGGCTCGCCTGCGACATCTGGTTTACTACGAGCCCGTTCGAGCACGTGAACCAGCATCGCAGTCACGGGGCTTCACGCAACAACCTCTGTATGACAAGTCAACCCTCCAGATCCACGCAGAGCGAAGGAGCGCGGCATCTGCAGTGGGTAGGCCTTCCACACAAGCAGCTAACACTTCGACACGATGCGAAACGGAGCCGTTCACGGGTGTTTGTTTTGGCGATCGTCCACAGAATCCTAAGCAATAACAGCAGGCGCCTGTTGCACGTGCGTGCACCAGAGGTGGTAGTACGGTGACGTGTCATGAGAAATAAATAAATAAAAAGTAGAGAAAGAAGATTAGCCCTCGGCTGCGTCGTTGTGCAAGTGACCGGTTGACAATCACAATTGCAGTTGCCAACTGTGCGACTTCTTCCAAAGGCTAAGCTACTGAGGAAGGTGTGCAGCTTTAAGTTGGTCAGCGAGGCAGCGCAATGGGGTTGCTTTATTGTCGCCATACGCCATGCTCAGGAGAGTTATGCAACTTGGGCTCTACCACCACCACCAGTGTCAAGACTCCCAAAGGGGGAGAGATACGCCTCCTCTCGGCTCGAGATTCCGGCCCCTGGTCTATCCTGCGTCAGGATGGAGTCCAAACAACTTGCAATATCATATTATCCCTGTTATAATAAAGCATTGTTCAAATTTCAACAAGTCTCTCCGGATTGAAATCTATTCTAACTTTCGTTAACTAGACGAGACGAAAATGTTGGTGGTTGACGAAGTCACAATACTTTCCCCCCCTAAATTCACACGCAGTTAACAGACAGGCAAAGTACGGCGAATATTAACGAGTCATGATGACGTCATCCACGAACCCAGAACGCTCGCGCACATCGGTGCAGCGGTGGCCGACTATTTTACGCTTCGGCGAGTTTGAATGTGCGCTTTGTTAGTTTAGCTCACCTGTCTCGGGTTAGCTGACTGTTAGCAGGCTGAAGCCGCGCTGCTTCAGAGAAACATGAAGACCCGTTTAACAGACTGTCAGACCTTTCTGCTCTGTTCTCTGGCGACGGCAGGCAGCGTTTCCTCGGCTGGATGAGACCCTCCGTTACAGGCTTCTCCAAACACGTCTAACATAATAAACTCATTGCAGGTTCTGAAGCCTCACGCATTTCAACTATAGTAAACGCACCACATCGTGAGAAGACGCTGTTAAACCGTCTTGGCCACCGTACGCTCGTTACTAAGCAACATAGAGGCGCCACACACATGACAGGTGGATCCTTTTAATAGAACTGCGCAGTGCAGGTGAAGGATGTGGCGGGACAGTGCAGGTGGAGGAAAACACGCAGGACACAAGAGAAAAGAACTGGTCATGAAACCAACAAATAAACAAAGAGAAAGAAAAGACTGTTGAATGAAAAGTGGGGGTCCAGTTTAGAATGGCTGGTTTATGAGGCAGCCAAAAAATAATCTATTGCAACGATTGTGGGACGTTAAGGTCTCTTTTGTTAGGACGAGCGATTTCACAGTGGAAATAATAAAGGACAATGAAGTTTCCGGTGTCCATGTCAAAAGCATTGCAAGTAAACAGACAAAGACAACAAAGTGTTGCGTTTAGATCCCTGGTCCTCATGCAGTTGTTACACCTTTGCCAATTTGTTAAATTGCCTTGCAAATAAATGCTTTGCTATTTGTTGAAATCCAAATCCTTTCATGTAATGATTTTTCACATGTCATTTATATTAGCTCACACAACCATTTGTTCTTGGCCCGGCTCCTCCGTCACATTTTACAACCCATTGTGGCCCGTGAGTCAAAATGTTTGCCGACCTGCTATAGACCTCACTGCATGAAATGTGAGATTTTCGTCCCCGTAAACGCCCGGCAATCTCCCTAATTTCCGACAGTTTCCGACAATTTGCAACCCGCGCACGTCGCGTTTGTCTGTGCCACAAATTGTCGGAAATGAACCATGACGTAGGCGGAGAGCTGGCGGAGGTGCGAATGGCCCGAATTAGCATATGAATGCAGCGAAGCCGCGGGTGGCCGAGCCGAGCAGGCTTGAATATCCTTACTCCTTATTGGATGAAACCACAACTTACGAACAAATAACAAAAATAATGTTTTCCGAGGCAGGTCTGTTGTGCAGGCGGCTCGTGTGCGTGTGGCGACCGTACGATCCACCCCGAGACCCCGCCAACAACGCCATCCTCTCCGTCCGACATGAGCTCTACGATGGCGGAGTTCCAGAGTTCCACCTCGTCATCAGCCAGCACACTTTTCTCGATTCCAGCAGCTGTAAAAACAACAATGAATCAGTACTGTGCGATGCGTACGGACACAACACATCTATCAATGCACCTGAAAAAAGTCAGCAAATAAACTCCTCGCTCGACTCCGCGCTGAATTCTTCGCAGCTTCCGCCCGCAATGAGTGTTCCGGCTGAACCTGAAGCTCCTGCGTACCGTCTCACAATACGTCTCACAGGCGGCTGGAAAACAATTAAATGAGTGTGGTATGAATACAAAAAAAATCAAACGCAAGTCACAGTAACATTTAACAAGGAAGGAGAAACAGTAAACAGAGTCACTTACACACAATGACGTCGTCTAAATCTGGACTTTTCCCGGAGCAAAAATAGAAAAATTTTGGTAACATTTAAAAACAGGAGGAACCAACGCCCCGAATTGCTTCAAAAGTGAACGTTTTTTCAACGTCT